CAGGTGTCCCGCCTGACCACACTGATAACAAGACAGCGGCTGGCCTCTGCCCTGACTTTGGCTCTGAGGTCGAGTCGAAGATGAAGCTGCTCTCTGACCTCCTCCCCTCTGTGGGCAAGATGGAGACTTGTGGCCCAACTGACCACACTTGTAACAAGTAACGTCTCCCTAACTGCCTCTCCCAGAACCTGCACTCGGCACGGGAAAGGTCGATCTAACAAAAGCACCCTAGGACTGCGGAGGGTTAGAACCCCTCTGCCTCCTACCATCTCCCTAACCATCCTGACTCCTCTTGGAGCCTCTCTGCCTCTCCTCCTCCTCCTGCATCATAATTTCCATATGGGCTGCAGCATCCACAAGACGCCCATAATCTCGGGTCATAGACCCTCTAACTCTCATCTTGAGCCCATGCCTCAACTTCCACTCAAACTCAATACAACGGCGTTCCTCGGATGCCACAAGCTCAGGTACGAACCTGGATAAACTAGTAAAAGCGGCCTCAAATTCGGCTACTGACAAACTCAGCTGCTTGAGTTGGCAAAACTGGTCTCTCAGCTTCTCATTGACAGTTGGAGACAAGAACTTCTCCTGGAAAGCATCTACAAAGGCCTCCTACATCCCTCCAATATGACCCCTCAGGAACTTCCACCATTGACCCACATCCCCCTTAAGCTGGAAAGATGCCAAGGTCACCTTCAAAGCCCCGTCCTCGATGCCAAGCATCTCAAACGTCTTCGTCATCTATTCGAGCCATTCATCTACTTTAAGTGGCTCTTTCGGATCACCCATAAACTCGTCCGGATTTGACCGGAAGAACTCCTTCTTTAGAAAAGAAGGCCCTGTATCAATAACCTGGGCCTGAACTGGATTCTCAGCTCTGAGAATACCCATGGATTCCCTCAAAGCTCCTGCTATCTCGCGGGCTAAGGCACCCATGGCCTGCTGATCTGTTGGCTCGGCCACATTGGCCTGAACAACACCCTCCTGCTGCGCTGGAACCTCATCCAGTATAGGCATCTCCTGCCTCCTAGGCCTACCACGCCTACCTCCACATCCTCGTCCTGACATCCTAATAAAGGTAACGAAGAACATTAGCACATTCACAAATGTGCCGAAGCTATAACATTCACGTCCTAATGCATTGGACAACTGTAATTCACTCCTCGTAAGCACATAATCACATAAGCACTTATGAATTTCATTTCCGGATAATGATAGTCCCATGGCGTTACTAGAGTTCCAATTAGAAACAACATTGATCAAGTGTTTTTCTAACAAGACTCCCAGAAACCCAAGGATCCAATCAACATGCTGGAAACCAAATCCCATACCCAAGTAGTCACGTAAACATGTTATCACATAAGTATATAACACTACATCTAAGTTTCTATCAAGCGAGACAAACCCATTGTGATACTAATCATTTCCCATGTATCCAAAGTATTTAAACCCGGTACGCTTTGATACCAAGTTGTAACGCCCTCAAAATAAACCCATAAAACATACAATATTAACATGCTTAGACATAGGAGAATGAAACATAATTACATTTCATCAGAGTATTTCTTACAAAAGACAATACATGTTGACAACAAAAGTAAATGCCCTATAGGCTTACAACTTTCCTAGTCAACATTTGGTTACAAAAAGGAGAGTACTAACTCTACACAAAATAAGCCCTTGGCTTGATATACATGTATTACATCAAAACAACAAAAAGAGTCTGGCAGCCTCAAGCCTCCCATGCTACGTCCTTGGAGCTGGCATAATACCTGCACCTGAAAATGATGTCCCTTATAGTGTGAGCCAACGCTTAGTAGAGATCTGCTAAACATAATATGAGCAAAAACTAAAACATTGGCATTTAATAAATGTTTAACCCACATAAATCAATTCATAATCCATTTCAATTTCATGAAAATATGTCCATGTTTCATTCCATTTTCCATCACTTATCCAGTTCTCAATTTATGAATAAGGCTCAGAACCTGGCCAATAATTTAATGAGACTATAGCTCATATCAACAGTACTTCCATACTTCACAATAGATACACATGTTCGCTGTATCAATAACACATAAAATACTTCCATACTTCATAGATGATACACAGATTTACTGTATCAATACTTCAATAGATACACATAATTGTTGTATCAACACTTCAAAAGATACATATAATTGGTGTATCAATGGAGTCCATTCCCTATCTCCTCCCAAATAAAATCTGGTTTAGGGGTCCATCCCCCATCTTCCCCTAAACTGTGGAATACATCCCCTATCTCCTCCTACACAACACAATGTATATAAACACATATCATATACACAATCAATTAACACATAAATTCTACGTATTGTTCCCATTGTCATATTCAATGACATATTCAATTGATTAGTTTTAGTTCGCCTAATCATCATGCATTGTCTACAACAATCAAGACTATCCTCCACCAATAGCCCAAAACAATTATTTCTAAACAGATAATGATTACATCCAACAAATAAACTATTAACAATTTCCAAGGTGAGTGATTAATAATTCCAACTCCACCATCCTATCTCATAATGAGCCAATTACATTATTCCCAACTCAATTTCATATTTCCATAGTAATTGTCATTAGTTATACTAATGACCCAAATATACCAAAACATGACATTGTCCCCATTTTTCTCAATATTGACCCAAATGTCCAAATATTATCAACAACATCAATAAATTCTATTTCAAACCCAAAACACATATGTATGAGTCAAATGAACAAAACCCCTCTTTTCAACATTATACATCTCAAACTCTAACTTCCCAAATCAAACCATTTATACAAAAAGCTCAATATCTATGTTAAAACTCATAAAGATGAGTAGGAATCCCTACCTCAAGAAATGAAACTTAAAGGAGATGATGAAGAAATCTCGAAATGCTCCAAAACCCAAGATTTTCGGATTGATAGGAAGCTCAAGCCAAGCTCTACACTCTTTGCAAAGACACTTAGGGAGTAGATCACTCAAGTTAGATCAATCCTTAGAGAGAAGGTATATTCTAGAGAGAGGAACTCTCAAAAGTGGGTTTAGAAAAGTAAGAGAGAGAAGAGAGATGTGAAAAGTGATTCAAAATCACCCAGCTGCCATCTGATATACGACTAGTCCGCTCGAGCGGAGAATAGGACGCTCGAGCGTTAAACACAAAAACTGGACCCCCTCGAGCGCAAAAATACGCGCTCAAGCGCCAAGACGTAAAAACAAAATACACCCGCTCGAGCGCAAAGGAAAGCCCGTTCAAGCGTAGATTACCACATTCCAATACTTTTACAGACAATGAACACCTGCTCGAGCGCCAAGAGGCCCGCTCGAGCGCGACCCGCTCGAGTGTAAGGAACTCTGCTCGAGCGTGAAAAACAACCCTGCAGTACTTTTACAGAGGCACAAAATGCTGGAAGCGTGAAAACTCCGCTTGAGCGCAAATGGACCCGCTCGAGCAGATCACCAAAAATATGGGCAACAAGAATTGGGACAAAAGCTTAACCAACCTGTTCGAAACACCCTCAACACATCCTAAGACTCAAATATATGGAATTAAAGGATGACAACAAGATATATACAACAACCAACCCCACAGAACCTAAGTCCGGAATACAACAATCAAGAGAGGAAGAACCAGGGTCGCTATAGTTTTTGTATTTTTTTATTTGTTTTATTATTTTATATTTATTTTATATAAAAATAATTTAACAATCCCTACAACAACTATCATCAAAACAAACACAATTCTATCAATCCCCTTACTACTAATCTCCTCACTATCAATCCCATCCATTCTACATCTGAAAACAAATGGGCCAAAAGGTGAGCGGGTGGGCTAGACGTTATATGAAGGTGTTTGGTTTCTTCAAAGTTTTTTGAAGGGGGTCCATTGAAGCAGGCCCATTATAACCGAAAATATGAATTACTTGGGCAGCTCACAAAATTAGTAAGGAAAATTCAATTATTACATAAAATTCATACCAAAAAAAAAATGACAAAAAAAATGTGGTAATATTATTATTGTAAATAAATTTCTTTTCAATGGTATTTTTCTTTAAAGTGAAAGATCCACAATGAGTCATATCATTATAGATGAAAATTATGTATGAATTTTTCATTTGTCTAACATTACTCAATTAATAATATATATATAAAAAACTAATCTCCCATTAATGAGTAATTATCATGTATTTCGAAAATTCAATATTGACGGTATGTCTAGCCAATATCAGAGGCTTAAAGAATTATATAATCCTACAAACAAAGAATAATGGAAAAATAAGAGGATGCTATTGGATGGGCACACAATCATGCAATTATTTTTACTCACATGATAATTTTTACCAATTTAAGGGTTTGTGGGTACATAATTATGTATCTCAAAATCCTTCCGTCTTCCTATTCCAATGCACATTATTTTGAGCACATGTTGTAACTCTTCACCTTCTTTTCTTACAAATTCGAGGGGTTTGTAAAGACGCATAATTCTTTGTCTCAAAATTTTCCTATCTTTTTATCTTAATACATATGCAACCATTAGATCGTGCATTGAGATTTATGCATTTCAAGATTATTATTACAAAATTGAATGATTGAGAGTACATTGACAAAACAAATTCAAAGACAAGATGTTTTGGGATTTGCTAATTTTTTTTATTATTTTTATTTAAAGGAAGTTTAAAACACCCCAAAGATCATGCATAGGCAAAGTTTTTATCTACTGATAATAAAGGAGAAGGAACATAACAGGCTTTCTTTGCACTTGCAACAATCTACTAACTATCCACATATCCCATTCTAAATTAAAAATCTTAGCTTAAAAGAAGGAAGATTGAGAAAATATGCAATTCTCAGACAAAACTAATAAACAATAATATTGGCTAAGTACAAATGGGAAGTAACATAACAAGCTTTCTTGCAGACACTTGCAAATCTGATAAAAATCTTAGCAAAAAAAAAGAAAGAAGGATTGATTAGTTCAAAAGAGCTGGCCAATGATTGCAGCGGCGAGGGATTGGGAAAGGTGGTTGTAGCCGGATTCACTGGGATGAACACTATCCCAAAACAAGTGATTGGAAGCAGAGTGACACACCGGAGTGATGGGAGAACAAAGGAATGCTGCTTCTATCAATCCACTCCCGCAACACCCTTTTCGAGTTTCATTGAGCCCTGTTGTTTCACCATTCTCACACTATTAGTTCAATATTATTTTTGCCTTTTGTATCGAAAATAGAAATACTACAAATTTAGAAAAATAAAATTAGAAAAGTATTTATAATTTTAATCTTACTGTTTAGATTCATTTAAGTTTGGCCCTGCAACAAAAATTTCAAGTACACACCATATGAATTATTGAGTCAACTGTCCTATATACTGACTGAACTTTTTAAGCAGAGCTTATTAGCTTTTCTAAATTTTTGATGGAAAAAGGTTGACTTTCTGGCAGGAATAGAAGATGCCAAATAGATTTTGTCTTTCTAGTTGAAATCTTAATTATCAATAAGACACCAATTACTTGCAATAAGATGTGGATCACACATTCATGGGTATCACGCTCATGGGAGAGCTACAATGGTATATCTTCTATAATTTTTTTTTACAAAGTTTTATAAAATTTCATAATATAAATTACAAAAAATTATAATATTTTTTTACTATGAAATGTCATAACAAATACTATAAAGTGTCATAATTTTATTATTCGTAATTTCAGGATGCACATTATAAATTTATTATTTGTAATTTTATCACAAAAAAACATAGCATATACTAAATATTCATAACTTTTATCATAAAAAATTATAATTTTTTTACGATGCACATCTTATAAATATCTCCGGCACTCATATTTTAAGTGGCTAATTCTTTAAAAATCGCTAGCATTTTTTAACTATTGTGATTAGAAATAGTTGGTGTCTCCACCCATAACACCATTAATTTGACTAGGTAAATTAGGAATCTCTTTAATGAGATTCTATTATTCAGTAATGAGGTTCGTATCCCCCTTCTAGGTTCTGGCCATTCAATTCAGTTACCAGTACTTTTTTTATTTTTATTTTTAGAGAAATACATAAAATTGGTTTGATGAATTATTTTCAAAATAGTTTCTAGATTTTTTTATAGTAACCCACTTTTTCTGGAAAAGCTCCAAGGGCTAATAAGCTTGACTTGGTAAGCTTGGTTTAATAACTAAAATATTTTTTTGACAAAATATAGGTGGAAAATGGTTTAGAATCTAAACTTTAAACTGAAAAAAAATAAAAAAATTATAATGTAAATTAACAAAATTAAAAATTTAGAATTTATTTATTTTATTGCAAGGCTCAAATTACAAATTATTGGAATTTTTTTGTTGTTGTAATTTTTCCTTTTATTTTTATATAGCTAAAATTTCTACATTAATGTGAGATTCCCGTAGGGAAGTGTGAGAATCAGATTCCTACTTAGCCCAGTAAAGTGATTCCTGTTGAAATGGACAATGAGAAATTACTTTCTGACTTCAATCCGTTCCAAATGTTGGAATCATTTTGAGTTTTCAAAAACGGTTTGTTGAGTTTTTAATTAGTATTTTTGTATTTTTAATAATTTTTTTAAATTTTTTTTAGATTCAGTTAAACTTAATATACTTAAAAAGTAAAAAAATTGTACAAAAATATTAAAAAAAATTCATTGAATATAACAAAATATGAAAATGTATCAAATTTTCATAATTTTTTTTTGTATTCTTTTGTATTTGGTGATTTTTTTATTTTTTTACAAATATTATATTTTGTAAGCGTATTTATATTAGGTGTATTTAAAAAATAAAAATTTTTGGGTAAAATATTAAAAAAATTCACTAAAAACAAAAAAAAATGCGGAAAATAAAAAACTCAATGTTCTGAAAAGTGGACTCAATTTTCTGAAACCAAACTTGGTGATTCCTATTCCCTCAAAATTATTCTATTTGGTTTGGAGTTTTCAAAAATAGTTTTTTAAGTTTTCAATTAGTATTTTATATTTTTAATGATTTTTTAAAAATATTTTAATCATTTTTTTAAAAACTTTTTAGATCCACTTAATCTTAATATACTTAAAAAGTATAAAATTTGTATAATTTTTTTTTAAAAATTCATTAAATACAACAAAATACGAAAATGTATTGAATTTTTGTATTCACTTGTATTTTTTGTATTTGGTAATCTATTTAAAGTTTTTTTTTTCCCACAAATATTATACTTTTTAAGTGTATCTAGATTAAGTATATTTAAAAAATAAAAAATTGCATAAAATATTAAAAAAATTCACTATAAAAAATATGAAAATAAAAAACTCAATTTTCTTAAAAATATATATTTTTTGATTGTCAAAACTTAGTCGTCAATTGTTAGATTAATACTTCGGATGAGTTGAAACTCACACTCATACACCTTGTAAGAAATTTGCCCTCCTATTACACTCTTAAAAGTGAAACCCAAGATTTCTCCCATAGGAGAGACTTGGTAGTCAAGGCTAGGTTAATACAAGACTTCATAAAAACATAAACACGAATTCAAGTATAATAGTTTCTTGATGCACTAAAAAATAAGTTCATCCAATCCTAGGATATAGCAAAAAATCAACTTGGGGATTTTAAAGCTTACCATATTTTTGTGGATTTTTCATCATGTCATCCAACGGTGTGTATATATCTGCATAGATAATTTTGCTCCCAGGAAGAGAAGATTGCAATTGAGGTAACAAATTTGAAAGCTTGGCATTATAAGATTGAGCATCTGAATTCTGGTGATCTATGCATTTTCTGTGAATCTGAAGTTTTGCGGTCATTTGGATTGGGATACAACCAATTGGAGGTAGCCCAGCTACAACCATTGTTCTACACCCTATTTTGTACAGTTCCTGCAAAAATACACAAGTCAAAATTAAGCAGTAATAGTGCAATCTCTAAAAATTATCTAACATTTTAAGAACATCACATGACTGTGTGTTCAATCAATAATGTTTTGTCATTGTCTCATATTGATACTACTTTTTTCGACTATGTAAGTACACAGTTCCTTACTATTGGATGGACACATATCATCTTAGAATTTCGAAATGACCAAATAATTACTACAATTTTAGAATTTTTACCCATAAATTTACTAAGAAAGATCAATGTTTGGTTTAGATTTAAGATTTGTTTGGAATTGATTTTTTAGTAACTTTTTTGTTGATTTTTTTTTTCTCCTCATTTTTAGTGGATTTTTAAATTTTTTTTTTTTTTAAGAATTTAGGTTTTTAAATCTACTAGACTAGATGGGAATTAGATTTTGCTAGTTAATTGCTAGTCAATAGATAATTGATTGATGGAATTTGAAGAAAATTATATTGAAAAAAAATATAGAATAATTGAAAGAAAAAAATGTGTTGAAAATGGAAGGAAAGAGTGTGAGACAAAATTTTAATGAGTGTGAGACAAAATTTTAATTTTAATTAATTTTTTAGAAAACAATCTTTTAATTTCATAATTTTGGAATAAAATTTGATGGAGAAAACTTAAAAGGGATAAGATTTAGAGAAAAAAATAATGATAATTAATGAAAACTTTCAAATAACATTATGACACATCATTCTTAATGATATGAAAGTTAAAAAAAGTAAGAAAAATAAAGGGGGAGTTTAATCCTCAAAGGCCTAACTAGTATAGATTTCATATTTTAGATTAAACTTGAAAGGATTTCTTAAAGGAAAGATTTACGGAAAATGTAATGGCTAATAAAAACTTTCCTTAATTATTTGTTTCTTTATTTTATATCGTAACTAAATTCAATTTAATTTAAAATTTCATGTTATCTCTAGGTTAATAACATCATAACACAACTTAATGATATAAAAAATTTAACAATTAAAAAAAATGAATAGAGAGTTTAATCTATCACAACACTGGTGTTTAGTGAACTTGTTAAAAAATCATTTAATTTTTTTACGTTTTAGATCTATGTCAGTTAGTTGCTTACAAAAATTTAATAACATTTATTTCTTTTTCTTTTCTTTTTCTTTTCTTTTCTTCTTCTTCTTCTTCTTCTTCTTCTTTTTGGGTAAAAAAGTTCAGAAATGCCAGAAAAACAAACCAATTTTTGTAAGGTTTTTTATTTTTTATTTTTTAGTGAATATTTTTTAAAATTTGGGTATTTTTTTTGTATAAATTTTAAAATAATCCAATCGAAATGAACCAAAAAAATAAATTTACTCAAAATAATTTTTTTTTTATTTTTAAATAGACAAAAAAACTTGACTTTCTGGATACTCATTTATCTCACCAACCACTCTTTCAATTTGAAAGGATTTTAAGTTTGTAAAATTATAAAGCTCCATATTGTTAACGAAAATGGTTGTGTAAACAAATATGAGAGAGAGAGAGAGAGAGAGAGAGAGAGAGAGAGAGAGAGAGAGAGTTAACCTGAACAAACTTCTGTAAATTATTGAGCACAAAGTCATGGTACTCACTAATGTTGAAGGTAATCCTTCTTGTGGGTATGTCATAGAAATTAAAAACAAAGTCATTAGTCCCTGCACTAACAATCACCAAAGCACCATTAGTAATATTCATTGCTTCCTTTTCCCCTAAACTCTCCTTCAACCTCTCCACATAACTCCGAAGGTAACCAGGCTGTTTGGACACAGGGATAGAAAGAGTCACATCCGAAGTAACATCATCGTATCCCGATCCAGCCGATGCAAAGCTGACACCTGTCCTCAGTTCCTCATCCGATAGGTTTGGGTCGAGGAATGGAGGAACAATGTCCTTGATTCCCAACATGGTGGCCACGAAGTCTGGGACGAGTTTTCCATTTGAAAATCGTCCCGTGGCAACCTGGCCGGGGAAGTCCTGGCCGTAGGGCCGGTGGTTGCTTTTCATTAGGGATTTTATGTAGTTGTTGTTGCCTGTGTCTACTGTTGAGTCACCAAAGATGAGGAGGGTGGAGAATTTGGTTACGAGGGTGTTGCCATTGCATGGTTTGGTGCTGGTTAGGATGTAGATTTGGATGGTTAGGAGGATGAAGGAGATGGTTGGTGCCATTGGCAAAGAATCAGCAAGATGGTTCTCTTCTATAAGATGAGTTTTTTTTTGTAGTGTGTGTGTTGTGAGGAATGGTGAAATGCTTGTGTATATTTATAAGAGGAGTAAAACGGAGGCAACATGAAGTGGGTCCCCGAAAAGTGTATATTATTGTCATTTTCTATTTAAAATGTGAGGTGGGTCATAAATATAATGTATTTTTGGTCACAAATTTGGTTGTCAATTTCAGGTTCCATAGAAGGGTTCTGATAGGAGTAACGTTATAATGATTATCTATTTTTACTATATATCTTACTTTATATATAATGTATTAATTAGTTGCCGAAGTAACGTTATAATGATTATTTATTTTTGTTATCTTACTTATAATATAATGTGTTAGTTTAGCTGCCTGTACATTGTATATATATATATATATATATATGAGTGGTAAGAATTATTATTTTAATTTTATCTTGATAAATAAGATGATAAACATAACGCGGTATAACAATTTCGTAAGTGTAGCATTATTGTATTTATAGAGGACTATTGTATATCTCTCTTTTTTTCTTTTTATATCACTGAATACATAATATTAGATTATTTATATTATTATTTTCTTAATGATTAAGAATCAATAATAAATATCCACATAAATGACTATACAAAAACAATAGCCAAAAAAAAAAAAAAGATTGCATATGCAATTTTTCGTTATAACTTACCCATTGTTTTCTTTGTGATCTTAATGCACACATTTGTAACTTGCAAAAGAGAAATCAAGAGGACAAACATGAAAGATGGCCTAGATTTAAGTCTATTTTATGGTAAAATAGTAAAGAGAAAGAGACAATGTTCAAGATTTGAATTATTATTCAGTATACTAGTGCTTTCAAAATTATAAAAAAAAAAACAAAAACTCAAAATACTTATAGAAATACCTACACCTCTGTAAGTATTTTCAATATTTTATTATTGATGCTGATATTTATTTTCAATAATTTGATATTTTTCATGGTATTTTAAGATTTTTTCCCCTTTTTTATTTTGAAATTTCCAATTTGAATGTCAGCATTTACTATGAATATTGCTTTCGCAGATTTATTCATTAAAATCCTATTTAGGTAATGTTATATATCTCAAAGTAAAAAGTCTATCCCTATAGGTCACAATTATAAAAATGTCATTCTCATATAATTTTATTTAATTTTTTTTGTATAAACATATGGGTAAATTACACTGATCTTTCTCAAATTTTAGAAAAAATATAGCAAGTCTAACAATTTTGACATAATTACCCTGACTCTCTTTTAATAAGGCTAAAATTTCTAAAACTAATGCAGATTGTGAATATATAAGGATATATAAGCTAAAATATACACTTCAAAATAAAAGAGATGATAATATCATTTTTCTATCTATATGATTAACAAATTATTAATGAAAAGATATTATGTGTTATACAAATTAAAATCTTAAAAAAGTTTAATGTAATTATGCTAAACTAATAGGACCTACTATATTTTTTCAAACCCCAGGGGTAAACGTAATTTTCCCTAAAAATATTGTATGTTTAGCATTTTCTAATTTATTTGAGAAATGTTATAGGTTCATAATTCGCCCACGATGACATAACAATGGACTTACGTCTTACATGGTTGAATTTGTGACAAATTAAAAGTTAAGATATAATTTGTCATGTCATTGTGAATAAAAAATACTATAATAATGATCATATTTATATACCACATTAAGTCACTATAATTACATGTATCTCATCACTTAAATCTTTGTATCAACACAATAAAGATATATTATTACACTGCTGAATTAGAAAAAGGTTTTTAAGGGGATCAATTTTTATTTTATTTTATTGGGCACCTTTTTTCAAAAACATTGGCTCTCTCTCTCTCTCTCTCTCTAAAAACCTCCTCCCCAGGCCTCCTTCGGGCCGGCCGGCCGCCGCCTTTGGCTATGGCGGTTGGCTGGCCTTAGCTTTTTCCGTCGTTCGTTTGTTTGTTAGTTTTTTTTCCTTTAATAAACTTGTTTCTCCCATGATTTTCCCACCTAGGTGTGTTTTGTAATAGCTGGAGGTGTGTGCTGCGGTAGTTCGTATTTTTGACGTCCAGGATCTTCACTCAAGCTCTCTTGTGCGAGTTGGAGCTTGAGGGGTGTTCACTGGTTCAGATTTTTGGAGTAGTATCGATGCTCTGGTTGGGCGATCCAGATCTGTCTGGTTTTCATTCGTGCGCTCCTTTCGGGTGAGAGTTTGAGAGGTGAACTTCTCCAAATGTATGGTGATATCACAGCGGTTGGTAGGTGTTTTGGTCGGGTTTTGGATCTGCAGTGGGTGTCAGAAAGTAGAAGAACTTGGGTGTGCGAAAGAAGAAGATCATTGCAGCAGGGGAGGGGCAGTGGGTTTGAGAAAGAAAAAGAACTTGGGCCTTGTAGTTGCAGCGGGTGTGAGAAAGAAGAAGAACTTGGGGGTGTGAAAGAAGAAGAGGCGTAGGTGGAGGGTGTGAACTTGGGTCTTGGTAAGAAAGAAGAAGAACTTGGGTCTTGGTTCTGCGGTGGGTCTTGGAGGTGCAGCGGGTGTAAGAAAGAAGAAGAACTTTGGGATGTGAAAGAAGAAGAAGAGGCGTAGGTGGAGGGTGTGAACGTGGGTATTGGTGCTGCTGTCCAGTGTTGGCTTGGAGTTTCACTCGGTCGGAGAGTTTTTCTCGGCATGGCGTGGTGTGGGCAGCAGAGGCGTAGGTGGTGTAGGCTGCAGCAGCAGAGGCGTAGCGTAGGTAGTGTGGGCTGCAACAGAGGTGGCGTGTGCATAGGGTGTTAGCATAGGCGTGGGTCTTGTGGGGTTGTAATCAAGTGCAGCTTGAGTGTTTTGTTGGGTTGATCTTGTGGGGTTTCATGTTTTTATTTTATAGTTAAGTTCTTCTTAACTTTTTTGTTTAAAAAAAAAAAATCGTGAGGCCAAGGGGTTGGTTGTATGGATGTGAGTAGCAGTAGTAGGAGTATTTTTATACTTTTCGAATCTCTCTCGATGCATATCATCTTCTTGTACCTTTAATTTCATACTGTTAATGAAATTTTTCTTTACTGATCAAAAAAAAAAAAAAAACTATTACGCTGCTATAAGAAGAGATTAGGCTGAGTTGCTTTCTATTTGTATGCTCTTGCAATTAATTATATGATTTTTCTTGTTTGTTGATCCCAAAAACAAAAGAAAAGAAAATATATATATATATATATATATTGTTTCCCACATAACAATAATAATTTGTATGTCAAGAAGGATAAGAGAGATTTCCCAAAAAAAATAATACATCAAATATATATGTATATATATATCTCACAAAAGTTCATAACATTAAAGAAATGCATGTGTCTTACAAATTAAACATAACAAACTCACACGGAAATTGAAAAGCAGGGATTACAAACCAAGCATAACAAACTCCACACTCCTTTACACTAACACACTATTAAACCTGTAGTTCATTATTAAACATACATACATACACACTACATATTAATACCATTTAATTTTCATTATCAGGACCAGCAATCTGGGCTGGGAGGAAGCCTGTGAACAAGTTCCATGCCTTTAAGCGCACAACAATGACAGAGAAAATGAACCAGATGCCATATGGAAGCCAAATGAGCCAATCTGGGACCAAGACGGTGACAAGTGAGACCGGTGCGAGACCTGCAACGATCAGAGTAACATAGAAAAAGATTCGAGCATAGTTTTCACCGATAATTTGCTGGCCTTCAAGTTCAACAAATTCTTTCAACACAAGGGCCAAGCTGTAGATGCATGCTGACATCAAGGAAGCTAGCATGCTCATGGGGTGGATTTTGAATGGGGACTGCCTACGACCGCGAAACGTAGCCTACGGCCACTGAGAGATGATCTACGAGACCTCTCCCTCCCTTCGGGAAGAGAAGACGGAGAAAACGGGACCTGGTTCGCAAACCGAGGCAAAGCATAAAAGAGTCCGGAAGTCCGGAGGCAAGGCTCACGGCCGAGACTCCGTGACCTCTGAACGAGCACAAAATGCAACATCACCGAGCGCTCAATCGTTGACGTTTGAGTCTTAAGGTCGGTCAAAAATAGGGTGTCTACAAGGGGTAAACATAATTTTCCCTAAAAATATTGTATGTTTAGCATTTTCTAATTTATTTGAGAAATGTTATAGGTTCATAATTTGCTCACGATGACATAACAATGAACTTACGTCTTACATAGTTGAATTTGTGACAAATTAAAAGTTAAGATATAATTTGTCATGTCATTGTGAATAAAAAATACTATAATAATGATCATATATATGTACCACATTAAGTCACTATAATTACATGTATCTCATCACTTAAATCTTTGTATCAACACAATAATGATATATTATTACACTGCTCAATTAGAAATACGTTTTTAAGGGGATCAAATTTTTTTTTTTTCTTTTTATTTGCAAGATATCATGATGAAGATGGAAAGATAAGAATGGGAGGAAAATGGGCAAGGTCCAATTTGTTGTTGAAGATGCCATTCTTAAAGATAGATTCTTACAGAGAGATTAGTATTAATAGTGTGTGAGTGTGTATGTAATAATGTGGAAATAATAATGTTAGTTTCATGCATTTGTACACTGTCAACAAATCCGCAGGTGTCTCCCCCTTGTTCAAGTGAATGATTGATCATCATAGCTTTATTGTGGAGTGATTTTTTGAGGTTTGTCATTGGATGTAAATAAAAATAAGGCTTAACTAATACATGTAATTTGCGAATAATTGTTAACAGTAAGAATTTATAGATAAAACTTGGTTAAATTATATTGATCTTTTTTTTTTTAATTTTATTTTTAAAGTTTGGAGAAATAAAGTAAATTTCTCAATTTTAACATAATCATATTGAGCACATTTGAGATTTTAATTCAGATAACACTTAATTTTATTTTTATTAATAATTTGTTAGTTACATAGATGAAAAAATAATGTTATCATATCTTTTACATAAA